GTCATGGTGTCTTCTTGACAGAGTCATAAAAGGGACATATGTAGGTCGCCTGAGCAGATTCCTAGATTATACAAGTGACCTGCAAAGGTCTGTCGAAAAGCCTTTAACGAGAATTAGTTTCCTCTTAGAAGGCCCATGAGTACCCAGTATGTTTCAAGATGGAACCTCGTAGTAAACTGTTAGTTTGACGAAAACCCGTAGTGTTACCGCAGTGCAATTCCCCTAGCTTCCTTTATAAAGTTGGAACCTACTGAAAGGAAGGGATCAGCTCCTATCGCGGTGGAGGCAGAAGTCCTCCTAAGCCAGCCACTCTTTGTTCGTTTCGGATAAGAATGTTTGTACTGTTTCTCTTAGTCCGTGTAGAAAAGTGCGTATGTCAAATCTCAATCTCGCTAGCTATACTATTTAAAAAGTTATAGACGAACATATTTTCGTTTCCCCAAAAGGCTCATATTACAATTCAAATGTTTAAAACGTTTTTTGAAGTGACACTTCTTTAGCGGCCGTTGGTTGGTTGGGAGTAAATTGGCAAATTCAATGGAAATTGTACACGGAAATGGTGAAACGGAAATGGTTGGGGCTGAAACAAGTACTTCTTGAGTGTATGCACATGGTATGAATTTAACAAAAACTTGCTAATAAAAGGTTAAAGAGTAACACTTAGAAAAAGACCAATACAAGAATGAAAGTGAAGGGGAGTATGTACATTAGGGTGGTCCAAAAACAGTAAACTCGGAATTGTAATGCCCTCACCCCCTAGCATTGTTCTATATCGAAAAAAAGTATACCCCTATTTTTTATTTTGAAATCAAAAAATATTTAGAGGTCGCTCAAAGCGCTCAAAGTTTTCCATGTACTTTTATATGGGGAAAAAACAACTTTTCGTTGAAATGGTATAGAATTCTTGAAAACCAATATTTTTCGATCGGAAAACTCTGGTTCCCTACAGGAGACTTTCAGTAATAAGACCCAATTGTTTATTTAACCATTTTTTAATACTAACGATTTTTTATTGGTCCACCCATTGAATTTTTCGGGGTGTTTGTGGGTTATTGGCGGACCTATAAATTAAAATGGTTAAATAAAAATTTGAGTATTATTATTGGGAATCTGTTGCAGACAAATTGAGTTCTCTCATATTTATTTTTAAGAATTCTATACCATTTCTACGAAAAGTTGTTTTTTCCCCATACAAAATACATGGAAAATTTTGGGCGCTTTGAGCGACCTCTAAATATTTTTTAATTTTGAAATAAAAAGATTGGGATAAATTGTTTTCGGTATAGAACAATCCTAGGGGGTGAGAGCATAAAAATTCCGACTTTACTTTTCCACGTGTATTTCTGGACCACCCTAATGTACATAGTTAAAGAAAAGGATAAAGGCAAAGGCAAAAATAAAAACAAAAACAAAGATGTGTAAAGATAAAGGCGAAATAAAGGTAATTATATAGATGGATACACAGAGAATCAATCTGTGACCTATTTTGAGATTTTCGAGATTCTCGGGACTTATCGATATAATAATCGATATTTTTATCGCTTTTGTTATTGAAATTTTTATCGATATTGTTATTGATTTTGCTACCGATATCTTTGGAACATATCGAAATAATAATCGATTTTGTTATCGATATTATTTTTGATTTTGTTATAGATTTTGTAATTTATATTTTTATCGATTTTGTAATTTTTTATCGATTTTTTTATCGATTTTGTAATTGATATTTTTAACGATTTTGTTATTGATTCTTTTTATCGATATTATTACTGGTTTTGTTATCGATATTGTTGTAGATTTTATTATCGATACTTTTATCGAACTTGTTATCGATATTTTTATCGATGTTGTTATCGTTTTTTTATCGGCTATTGATCGATTTTGTTATCCATATTTTTATCGATTTTGTTATCGATAATTTTATCGATATTTTTATCGATTTTCTAATCGATTTTGCTAACAATATTATTATCGATTTTGCTATGGGAATTTTTGTCGATTTTGACATCGATATTTTGTTGGATGTTACTATCGATTTTGTTATCGATGGAGTATAAAGATACAAATGAAGAATAGAGAAAACAGAATAACATAAATGCAATTAGAAGGAACAGGCGTAGAGGTAGGGATATAGATAGAAAAAAGGCAAAAAATATAAACTTAAGAAAAAGCAGATATATGTATGTATGTACGTAAGTTTCGCTTCCCCAGTGTTGCCCAGGCGCACTTACTTTTTTTTATCAAATACAGGTTTTTCGACTTAAGCGTTTATTGCTTTTGAGAAACATTTGGATTAACCGCCCGATTCGCTCGCCAATGACAAAGCTCTTCGGTTAAGAATCACTGTTCTAAATGATCATTGCAAATAGTTAATTAAAGTCTTTAACAATTTTAACAAATAAGTAAATACAAAATACATATATGCAAGTGTAATACAGTGCTTTCCATAGTGCATGCAAACTTACTAAAGCTTAGTACAACGACTACATTTATTCACGCATGATGTGCAAATTTGTAAGTTGTATATACATACATATGCATATGTATTTGTAAGGTTCTAAAAAATCGTTAAACAGTTGTGTCATTGATGCTTGAAATGTATACACTCTTGCATATGTACATATTTTACGTATGCATGCAGTAAATATGTATATAGTAAAAACTGTGGTTTAGCATTGTTTGCTTACAAGTTGGCGCCATAGCAACAAAAAAAAAACAAAAACAAATGAATAAATAAAAAATCTTCATAAGCTTTGCGACTAACCGGTTGACTGACTGGTAGCAGTAACCTCGCACTTGACTTTAGCGCAATTAGCTCAGTGGCAACGAAACTTAAGGAAGAAGAAAACTTAACAAATTGTAGCAACTTGAAGTATGTAGAAGAATAAAGAAGAGAATATTTATAAGTATAATAAAACGCAGTCTTTTACAACTTACGCTTCGCTTCAATTGCCAGTGCTATTATAAAGCACAGGCTGGAAAATTTATGACAATTATGTATGTATGTATGCATGTATGAGTTGAGCCACCGCTGCCAAGTGCCGGCCAACTATTCATTTCATGCCTTTTATGAGCACAATTGTAATTTGCTGTGACCGCAGCTTATGAACTTGCTGAAGCTTGCATTGCTCAAGTAGCAGGAAGTCGCGTCACAATCAAGGGTTAAAGGCGAAGTTTAACTGTCAAAAGCGTGCGCGTAGTCTACTTTCACCCAGTCAGTGGAGTTTGTGCTGAGGCGTTTATTTTTTTTTAAGTTTGCATTTTTGAGAGGAAAATTTGCACCTTATAGTCACTGGAGTGTGAAATTGTAAGTTTTTAATTTTTTTTTAAATACCAAGTAGAAATGTGTATATGTAGTTATTTTTAGACTAAAGATGCTTAGTATTTTTGGTTTTATTAAACACTGCATATAAAAGAAATCCTAAGCATTCACGAAATTCCGTAGAAGTTTCGAAAATCTCGAAATAGTTCTGAATATCCCTTACAGTCCTGAAAAATCTCGAAAGAGCGCGAAAAAGAAAACGCGGGAATCCCAATAAATGTTGAATGAATTGAAAAAAGTAAAAGAGAATTTCAAAAGTAAAAGAAAAGCGCAAAGTAAAATAATAGAGTCCCGAAAAATTCAGAAGAAACCCAAAAAAAAATATAACAAAATTTTCCGATAATTTATTTTATAAATAAGACACAACAAAACTTGTATTTTTTGTATTTCATAAATGAACGAAGGAAGCCGAAGTCTTTGCAATAAAAAAGCGGCGAAAGGAACGATATTAATCCGCCAAAACAAGTAGATCAACCTCTACATAGCTAGTCAGGCGGCCAGCTAGGCTCTGCTTTCATATAAAACAAATTCGATTACTGTTGCGGACTGTAAGGAGGCTATAATAAGGCTGGCAGCAGCTAAAACTATCCACCTATATTGGGTCCCTGGACAAAAGGCTGTGGAAGGTACTGAGAGAGCTGGCTAGCTAGCCAAGGAGGGTGTTCTGTTAGACGCCTTACCAGCGAAGGATAAACCACTTCCGTTTCGGAAAATTAAAAGACTATGACATTTATGTGCGATGATTTCCGTTTTCAGCTCTGGAATGATATTGGGCTTATTGGCGAAGACACTACTTTTCACATAGCTCTAGAGAAAGATGTCCAATTCTCTCACATCGTAAGATCTCGGCGGTCATTTGACCTCGATGTTTCGCGAGATAATGCGTCCTGGGAACTTCGTTCGCAATAGGGCCATGGTTTAATGCGCTGTGTGGCGAGTGGCACCGTGCTGTTGAAACCACATATTGTGAAAGTGACATGTAACATCATTACTGGCATCATATTCGAAGAAGTACGGTCCGATGACTCCGACAGCCCCAAAAACCTCACCAAACTGTCGCTAGTTGTGGATTCATAGTTTTCTCTTAAATGACGTGTGGATTTCAGTGCCCCAAATGCGGCGAGTTATTAAACTGAGTATCGCTCCAAGCTAAGTTTGCCAAGCCTATAGGACCAATTGCCTGAAAAAAACATTAACATATCACAAATAATTGCTGTCCAATATCTGCATCACCCTTGAATCACCACATAATATCCCAGTACGCATCTTCTGGAATAACGACCTCAACTAAAAGCGTAAACAGACGGCAGCGTTGATCCGTATCAACTCGGGAATTAACTGCATTTGATCCGGATTAAGTCCGAATTAATCCGGATCAACGCTGCTGTCTGTTTAAGATTTTAATCTACTTTACGTTTAAAAACAGAATTTTTTTAGGTGACTGGATATTTGCGAAATTTACCTGTATTTAGACAAAATTTATCGATTATTTTTGCAAAGCCCAGTTTCCACCTTGAAATCGCAGATTTAAATTTTGTTAACAAAATATAAAAACTACAGAAAATTGTTGGGAAGTGCGAATCTGATAACATAAAAAAAAACTTATTTTTCAAAGTATTACACGAATTCATACATATACAAGTTTTATTTCATAATCTTGTTTGTCTTATCATTTCAGATCCTCCACCATGTCGGCAATGAATGCTGCGCCGAGTAAATGGCATTTCGCAGCACATATGGGTGAATTACTACGCTACACAGGCGATGACAACAGTGGTCCCATGGGCTGTGCTAACCTCTGGCCTAATTGTCCGATTAGTTCGAAGAAATTAATGAAGTTATCGCATAAAGTGAAACTGTAAGATTGCCTGCGTGTGCATGTGGAGAAAGCAAAAAAAAAAACCAAAGCATGCACAAAAAATTTAAGTAAAACAAAAAAATGAGAAATACAAAAGGCTCAAATAAAATACTAAGCAATGACTTAAGGAGTACTTAAGTTATTAAGTAGAAAGTCTAATGTGATGTGAGAAATGCTGCGGGGCAATAATTATAGCTATCATATAAGTATGTATATACTAAGGGCCGGTTACTCAATGCCTGGTTAACATTAATCCCCAAGTTAAACATCGTTATCGACGTGGCTAACTCAAAGTTATAGGATTAAGAGGTATGAAACGATATCAGGTATGCTTATTTAGGTCGTTATACCTACACAGTTTTTGTGTGTTAAGTTAGTAGAACTAATTTTAGTGGACTTGATTAATTAACTTAACTTTGATTTAATGTAAAAAAAAAAACTACTTAGTAATGCTTAGAGTATTTTCGTCCAGCTTGCATATTTCCGAATATCGTTTTTGACTTAAACTTTGAAATCTTTATGTTAAGGCTTATATATGTACATATAAGCTTAAAATTTACAAAGGATTTACACAAGTTACACTTTAATTTTTGCTAAATAAGTTAGTGTGGTTTTGTCATATCCCACTTGTAAGTCAGTTAGAGTATCTAATTTTAAGCAATTTTTTTCTGTAATTACATAAGTACATTTAGTTATTTACCAAACTAGTATGAAAAAGACCACATACATCTTTTATAAATAATTTTCTACAGTTATTAAGTAAACAAGATTTTTTACATAAGTTGTTTAAAAATCGCCGTGTCTTTATCTATTTTTCACTATTTTTTCCAATTGAATTTAAGTAATTTGCCTTTTTTGCAGAAAATCTATAAAAAAATTTGATTAACAAGTACTTTATGTTTAACTTTAAAAAGAACATTTATGCATTTTGTATTATTTTCGATTTTTTATTAGGTTATGTATTTAAAACAATAAGTAATTTAATTAGTTTGTCCTATTAGTTTACCACAATTTTATTGACGATTGTTGTAAAAATTCATAAAGAGCAAAGAAAAAATTTAAAAATAAATAAAATGAAATATGCCTCAGTGTTTTCTACTCATTCTATGGTATGTGACTACTTCGTAAACTTTTTTTCCAAAATCTCCTGTGAAATATTTGCGGGGGATTTTCATTTTCTTAGAAATTCAATTTATAATCATATAATTAGAGACAATATACCACGCTTTCTCTTCAACAATGCACAGTGGTACAGCCCCATACATTTTTTGAAAAAAAAATAGAAGCAACCGGCAGAGAAACTAAATTTTTCGCATGTAACATTAATGGACATAAATAAAAACAAAAAAATTGGCGTGAGCGATTTAATTGAAAACATACCCCCGTAAAAACTTAACATCAAAAATGTCTTAAAATGCCCTAAAAAGCACACCAATGAATATATGACTCCGAAATTTTGTCCATATATTTTTAATAACGTTATGTGTAAGCCCTCAAAAACTGTCATTTTTGTCTGCTTATATTTATTAAAATATTTGGTAGATTGCCCTGATTTGTTCCTATTTTCTCTAGTAGGTGTTATGTTTTCTCATGAACCTACTACAAAAACAAACGTTATAAAAAACACATTGCTTAAGTGAACAAAAATCTCCATAGGTTTTAGTTGAATAAAATTCTTTGATTTTCTTGCTTTAGTTTAGTATACAACTGCCAGTTTCATACAAAGTTATAAAGAATTCGAGTATAAAAATAGAATATTAAAAAAATTTTATTTTTTCCGCCGGTATACCACTGTGCGATGTATTAATTCAATACAATTTTGTCCATTTCGGTACTATGGGCATTCATCCAAACGCGTCATAACGAGGCCTTTACGCGGACCTACGGTGGGCAAAAATATTCAAAGACCGTATATTAAACTTCCATAAAAGCTGAAATCAAATTCGTTTTTAATTTGAAAAAAATCGGCATTATTTGTAAATACTTTAAAAACAATATTAATTAAGAGTTTCGGATGTATGTGGAATAATAACACAAAAATACTTTGAAGGCATAGCGAAGCGCGAGTATTTGCTGGTATATACACTGAGAAAAAAATCAACTAAAAATTGGTTAATATTACCAAATTCAAACTTAAAAAATTCAATGGTTGACATTTTCAACAATGATTTGGTAATATTAACCACACTTTTGTTTACATTAAAAAAATGTTAATTGCTGAATTTTTCGTTTGCTTATGTTCTGCACTTCAAAGGCGCTTTTTCATAATTCGGAGATATAAAACCAAAAATTTGTATTATCATTTTAACATATTGCCTCTGACGGGATTTGCACCCGCACCTTTTGAAAGTTAGCAAATAACAGCAAGCACTTCCTTCGTCGTTTGATACTGTTCTGCAATTCACAGATGCTTTTTTGTAATTAAGAAAAACAAAAGTAAGGTTTCGTATCGCCTCTGACGGCATTCAAACTCCAATTTTCTGGAAGCCAACACACAAATGTAATTTCAAATGTACAATTTGCATCACATTTCTTACAATCGGTGTGTTTGCCATGAAAAAAATCAAACAATAACCTGGTTGAAAAAACCATTGTATGTACTTTTGGCTCAGTGTAGGTATGGCGGCCCTGGCACCTTGAGATTAGTTTAACGGTATCGAGATGCATGCGCGTACATATGTCGCTCGTATTTGCATCGCTCTCCTGTCAAAAGTTGAGCTATGAGAGTCTATATTTTTTCAATTCGTAAGTGGGCCATATGCCATTCATTCTAGTTATAAAAAATTATTAATTTTGTGTTTCATGCTTTCAATCCTGTTTTAATGGCGCATAATGCATAGCAAAAAAAAATCGAGTAACTGATTACTGTATTTCTGCTCCGAAAAATTCCACTATTAAAATTGTATTAATTAATTTCAATAAAAAACTGCAATACTAAACAATTTATTACCCACCTTCAATTTATACCACTTATTTTTATTACATTTTAATTTTTTCTAAGCACTTCAAACATTAAACTGGTAAATTGTTTTAGAATTGTCGTATCTAGTTTACGTAATTTACTGTACATAAAAAAATAGTCATTGTTTTATATACGTGCGTCCAACTCTGAATGGAAATTTTTCCAATTATTCATGCAGTTTGGTGCGTGAATTCTGGTAACATCATTAAATGCCATTTTATACGTATATTTTTAAATTTTGGCTTTTGTAGAACGTGATTGTCAATTATTTACACTGTATAAATTATCTTTCATGCTCAATTGCATTTGTTTTAAATGTGGCTATAAAAATTGTGTTTAAAGTTTTTGACAAGCTCCAAAAAAAGAAAGTAAAAAAAACCAGGATAAAAAAGTGAATTAATTTTAGGCAAACTAAACTTAAATAGAAGTAGAAACAGGACAAAAAAATTTTATACAAATGGTCTCGAGTTCAAAACTTAATAAATACATGGAAAAAAAATACTAATAGCACAGCACACATAGTAAAATAGAGGCATGCAGAAATGTCATGGTTGTCTTTATTCCCAAAGCCGGAAAGGCGTCAGTTATTAAAGACCTTAGACCAATTAGCCTTCGTACTTCAAATGATTGTTAGCAGCTTCCCTTCTGACACCATTGACCTTCGATTACTGTCTGATAAATTTACAGCGTTCGTAATTTATAGCCCTCAGAGTTAAGGATTTCTGTCTCGTAGATTTGCTGAATATTGAAGGCGCGTTAAACACCGGACTTTCAGAGGCTATGACAGACACAGCGAGGTCTCTCACTAGTGGAGTTTACAAGCCAGCTACTCTGCGGTAGAGTAATGAAGGCGAGGCTGGGAGCGTGCGAGTTGTCGGGGCTTGTGGGAGGGAGGTGTTCTTTCTCCACTTCTATGGAACCTAACCATAAACACATTTCTACGTGTAACGGATTGGGGTAGTCGCTGCATATGCCGATGACGTTGCAATCGCGTTCAGGGGAAAGCTTCCGAAAACGCTGTGCGAGCTGATGCAGCGAACGCTTCGGGATATATCCAGGTGATCCACGCGCTGTGGCCTAAGTGTCAACTCAAGCAAGGTGGAGCTCGTCCTTTTTATGGAAGGTACAAAATGCCTTCGCTAACTCCACCGGAAATAATGGCGTCCGGTTAAGTCTCGTTACAAAAGTCAAATTGTCAGGGGATATTTTAGACAAGAAGCTGAACTGGAAGGAGAATGTGGTCCAGCATTACTAGCAGGCTTTCTTAGCCGTCTAATGTTGTAAAATATCCACAAACAAGAAGTATCTTATATGGAGTGATCGTATGTAGGCCTGCATTAGAATAACATGTCAACCTCAGGCAAAGGTCTAATACGATCCACATGAGCGGGGCGCAGAACCACACTAAACACAGCTATGAACACTATTTTGGGTTTCACGTTTTGCTGCTCTTCGCTTAAAAGAGGAATACCAGAGGCAACTCGTAACCCAGGGACGCTGTACTTTATTAAATAAATTTTGCTTAATTCCGAATAGAACAGACCGCGGTGAATATCGGTTGCGAAAATCAAATTTTTTCACATAAATCTCAAGAAGTACAGATGGCTAAATACTCGACGGTGAGGTGGGAGTAGGGGTTTGCTCAAGAAAGCTTCATCTGAAAATCGCTTTTAGGCCACCAGACTACTAAAGCGTTTCCCAGCTTAGGTTTCAGCTATCATGGAGGCTGTTGGAAAGCTTGGAACCGAAATGATGGGAAGAGACATCTTAAATTTTATTGACAGCCAGGCTGCAATTAAAACTGTGAGATCTTTCAGTTTTAACTCAAAGATTGCGCTGGACTGCCGCCTATCTTAGCAAGAGATGGCCAAGTAGAACAGACTTCATCTCACATTGACCCTTGATCATGGGAACTAAGACGGGAAACTGGATGGCAGATGAGCTGGAAAGGCAAGCAGATTATTTCTGGTAAAGAACATATTCAGCCGTATCCTGAGTTTCATTCTCCCCCGAACCATTTCACTTTTTACTTTTCGTTTCCAAGTATTTACTATGGGCGGATGAAAAATTTTCCGGGCGAAA